GCAAAAGGACAAAAATAGACGGACAAGCCGCGAGGACGAAAAACAATGGGAATACAGGAGTGAACGGGTCTTGATTATGAATCCAAACGAATGCAATATAAAAATTAATTTGTTCTATTCTCTGAGTAAAAAAAACTTTCATTAAATTTTTTTTTAACGCTGGTTACCTTAACAAATTTACGTACAAAATTACGTAAATTACGTAACAAATACGTCGATCGATAATTTGTCTCGGAGCACGTGGCACTGACCACGTGCTTCTGTTGAACACATCCAACACATATATATATGTATATGGATATTGCACGGAAGACCATAGACCAGTAAGTACTGAGATAGGAAACGTCGTCGAAATAAAGCCAATGGTACGATTGTTGCCAACGTGTTAAAACCATTGAGCGTTTTCCCACGATGGCAGACTGCACGAGGAAGAAGAAGAAGCGAAGACGGAGGGTATACGAAAATAAAAAAAAAATAAAAAAGGAAACGATTCTCCCACGTTGGAAAAGCACGGAGCGAGAATCGGTTATATACGAGCATCGCGAGTAAGTTTATATACGGTGCCCCGATAACCCAGGAGTATCCTATACGTGCATTCGCGACACGACGCCTACGTTCCCGGAAGCACAAGAACGAAGCGTTACGCGCCAAGAGAAAGGGCAGAGAAAAGATAAGAGCAGCGGGAAAGAGATAAAAAGAGACGGCGCCATTCGATATCAGATACCGAAAGCGAGACGACGCGAAGTCGCGTCCGACGTCTGTAACGTGGCAGTTAAGAAGTTGCAGTAGCGACAGTGGCGCCGTCGGTTCTGTCAAAACAAACTAAAGTCCGATTTCCATGACGGTCGACCTGAGCGAGTAAACAGGACAATGTTTTTTTTTCGTATAACGACAAAAAAAAAACGAGGATCGTTCGCAATCGCCCTTAAAAATTTGCCACGTTTGACGTTTTCTCGAAAAGTTTTTTTAAACAGGTAAAAAAAAAAATAAAGCTTGCGGGATAACACGTTATTATTCCCGATGTACATTGATCAGCACAAAAGCTTTGGTTTGACGATTAATCAACGTTGACGCCCACGACGTTGACGTTCACAAAAGCCTCCTCTCTAAAGTCCCCGTGTCACTGGCACGGGCTCTTCTACTGGCTGTTGGCACCACTGGTAGCAGCCTATATCCACTCTTCTTCTATTCCGGCCTTCACCGGGTCCCGTTATACCAACCCCCCCTGCCTGTCCTCTGGTCCCTTAACAAAACACGTGTCACTGCGTTAAGTTGGCGACACTGCTCGTTAATCACACGACATTATACATGATGGATTAAAAACTTCTACCGACGCACACACTGTACTCTTCTTGCTTTCTCTCTCTCTCACTCTCCCATCACTTTCTTTCTCTCTAACTTCGAGCAGACTAATCTGCCTTCCACACCATTAATGCCATTGTAATAGCTGCCGTAGAGCGTCAACCGTCTATGTCTACTGGCAAATACGTTGGTCAGCTTTGACGAATAATAATAATAATAAATCGCGAAATCCTTAAGCGTATCTCCTGCTATGGAATTATTTTGTAAATTGTCTGACGCCGATACTCAAATTTTCAGAACAATTTGCTTGGAACAAGACGGAAAAATGTATAACGTCGCGCACCCATTTCATCTGTATGTAACGTATGTTTTTCTTAACTCGACACCGATAGCGAAAAATCCGAGAACCAACCTACGTTACCTTCGGCCGTCCACCCTTCGCTCATGAATCCGCAAGCCGAAGCGGACGGTTACGGAAATGCGCGGCCGCTCAGGCTGCTGGGTCGAGCTAGAGAGGGTCGGAGTAAGCGTCAGGCAAATAGTGCGAGATACAGAGAGCAACGGATGAAGAATGTAGAAGAACGAATCTGAACTGTCAATTCGAAATCCCATCACCAATTAATAAATTGGGAGTGCTCACCGGAGCTGGTACAGCTGACCCGTCAAGGCCGTGAACTGCATCGAGGAAACACTCGGGTGGGCACTGCACTAGGGCACAGGCACTGCACTTGCGGAACACTCATAGAAAATCCACAGAAGTTCCTGGATATCGTGGGAGCAACGCGAGAACTACACCGAACGAGAACTTACTACACTGTATCGAAACAAAGAGTTACGTACCGATTCGCTAAGGAACACTCTCGATTTGGTTTAAAGGAACGACTCGAGGGAAAGGGAAGAATTATCCGCTATAAGGATCCCGACCAATCAGATGATCAGAAATAATAGTTATAGAATTTGGCTATTTTGTCAAAGCAGTCTGTCTCGGGACACCGGCCGAGGTGTCACGAACTGGCTCGCGCTCCCGGGCGATCTGTGTATAGTTTTTCTAGCCGTGTTTTTATACGATGTAGAAAGTTCTCGTGCAGTTCTCGCGATATTCAGGAAATTCTGTGGATTTTTTGTGAGTGTTCCGGAAGTGCAGTGTTGTGCTATAGTGCAGTGCCTCCTCAGTGTCTTCTGGATGCAGTTCTCAGCCTTCAGGGATCAGCTGCACCAGCTCCGGTGAGTCTCTCAATTTATTAATTGGTAATGGGATTTCGATTTGATACGTCCGACTCGTTCTTTTACGTTCTCGATCCGTTAGTCTCTGTATCTCGCACTATTTGCCTGGCTCTTACTACGACCCTCTCTAGCTCAACCTAGCAGCCTGAGCTGCCTGAGCATTGAAAATCTTCAATGCTCGTAACTTTCCTCTCAATCTGCCCATATTCGTTGTTTCTCTCGCACCTCAGTGATAAGAAAACGCACTCTTGACCATCATGACAGTCGTATAACATTTAGGAGCCATCCTGTCGTCGATTACCCGAACCATAAAAATTCGGCCAACCGACTGCGTCTTATAAATGAAAACGTCTATCGGGAGACGCTCGTCGCCGCGATCCTCCCTTCTCGAGTAATAAATGGCCGCGATGAATAATAACGGGTTATTGAAAGAAAATTCCAGAGATATGAAAGAGTTTGAAACTCGAGGCATTAACCCAGTTTCAAAAGGCAAAGTGCTACGGGGAGTAAGAACCAGACCTATATTATATATACCCCCTATAGCACTGTTACCATGATAACCAATAGAAAAAGATCCCTTAATCAAATGGCAATTCCCTTATCAAAGCATAAAGACTATATACAGACACGAGACCGACATACCCTTTATACAGACTGCTATTATATCTGAATTCCCTATTTCGTGATACCTATACAGGAGGTAAAACAGAAATTTATACTTGAACTTTTTTTTTAAAAATATACATTTATTATTATCCCTATAAAAGAAAGTCTGCAGTTTGGCATTTTTACGAGCCTATCAAGACCTACCAGTGCTTTCTGCTTCCTTAATATTTTAACACAGAACTGGGCACGGAGCCCACTGTACTAAAAACTATAATATAGTAGAGTATACGTGCATATATACAATGCGAAGATTATAAGATAATCCTGGCTACCCATCCAAACCACATGTTATAATCCGCATATGCACACTCTACCGTATTCTACAGAAGTCAGCTGCGATATACTGTATCCGTACGGAGACATAGCAAAGGCAAATGCATTATATGAAAATTACCAGGGACTTATCGTTCTCCAATCACAGTTCACTCGTTAACAATGGTACTCCCGGCAGACGTGAGCTAACTGGCTCAAAGCCATTAAATGGAAGAGGAGTCGAGCAAACTTGAAAAGTTTCCTAGCCGTCCGCGACGTCTCGTTAAGGCTGACGAGTCGACACAAGTAAAGCCAAGTCGACTGAGGCGCCGGGAACTCTAGGAGAGTCAGGAGTAGCGCAGACAGGGTCCTACGCGCGAGCCAGCCGTATACCTGGTAAATTATTCATGCGTACAAATGAGCCAGTGAGCGCGCGAAATTAGAGGAGGAACGTACAACCGGAGCATAGAAGAAAATGCTAGAATTATTGAAATCAGTAAAATATTTGCCGAATGCAAAAGCGCACTGTTTTTTCTTGGTCTTGTGTCTGACAACTACTACGTATGTACGTACTCGATTACTTGGTTTGTATATCGTATAGTATTTACCCTGTGACGCTTTGCCTACGAAGAGCCCATTCGTTCGTGCTTGTACGGCCCCCGCTGTCTGTGTGCAATTTTATTTTTCTTTTCTCCCGTCGGCCGCCATTCTCCCCGTCGCGACTCCTTCGTCAGACGCTCATTTGAATTTTCGATAGTCGTTTGCCTGCGACAGTTCGCCAAGAGCTCAAACAATCCTCCTTCCTTCCACTCTCGGACTACTCGGAATCCCCCGGCAGGGTTTCTCAACCTTTTGGACTACGAGTTGCCTCTCTACGAAAGTTTGACCGTTGAATACGGGTGTATGGCGCCACGTTTCAGGCAGGAGAACCCCAGGCTTCCAATTTCATATGAAATTCAGCGAGTTATTGGCTGGAAGTAATCATAAAGAAGACTTCATCGATATTTCTTACTTCGGTGCTTCGGAACGCTTTCAAGATGGAGTAACTGCCCGCGGGATTTGAGAGAGGGAGGGTGAAGAAACTTTTTTTTTTTTTTTAAAGACTGTTCTTGCCGTCGGACAATTTTTTATCGCGATTACCAATAGATTGTTTTTAGGCTTTGAGTAATGGTTGTTTGCTTGTTTGCTCCTGGTCGGAGGGGGACCGGAGCTGCTTGTTACATTTTCAAGATGGCTTACCTTGTTCGGATATCCGTTGTAGCGGAGAAGTTTCTTGCAGCACTTGCCACGGTTCTCGTAGTAGAACATCTGGACCATCTCGGCGTGATCCGTCGCGGCACTTACGGTAAATGGACCACCGGAATTGTTGAGATTTGGGGCTTGCGGGGGCGGCGACTCCCGGCGCCCTAGCGGCACGCACGGGCACCACCCCGAGACCATCACACGGGCCCTGATGCCCGCAATTTGAAAACACACTTCCCCGTTCTTCGGACGCTGCACTCCCAGTCACTTCCCGCGAGGAACCAATTGCGTCATGGCTCACACTCGCGCGCTTATGAATACCGAACTATGGATTTTTAGATTTTTTGGGTTTTTTTTTTCGTCTCTTTCACGGAGACCCGTCCTGACAATTTTTTATGTTTCTCATTAATTATTCAGATCGATTTTTTGGCTTTTTAATTTTTCTGTCTTTGGCGGTTTCTTTGGTTTGACTACGGGTGTTTTAATTGTTTTGATTGCTGGCAGTACTTGATTTTGAAAATTCCTTTTTTAATCGTTCGACTTGCTTCTTTGGTAAATTTCGTTCATGGTGTCCTGACTCGTGGGCTGTCTGTAATTATTTATCGTTTTTGAAAAATTAAATTTTTTTTATACTTGGTATATATGAGACTTTGGATTATAATATGATGATTGGATACTCTTATTTGCTTTTTTTTTAATATCTCGAAAATTCTGTAAAAAATGGTGTATCAATATTACTTTTCAAAAACTTGTGCAAGATTGATGTATAAAAAAACAATGTAACACGAATATAAGATGGTAATAGGCCCTGTTACCGTACCAGAGTGATTAGCCAATCGTGCGATACCGATTAAAATTAACGACCTCGCGGCTACGTTACGATCGCGTATTTCGAGTTTTTCGACGAAAATAAATAACAGTCACGGCAGCCAGAAACAAATGGCCTTCCGTGAAGCAAATACCGAAGACTTTATTTCCTGCCTCGTTCAATCGCAAGGGGTCAATTAAAATCGTGAATTCCAAAGTTTATCGGACACTAAAAAAAGGGACACAACCATTGTCATACGACGCAGCATCCACGAGATTCCAGAGAGATGAAGAAAAAAAAATGCACATAGCCAATCTGATAACGGTAGCTAAATAAAGCCCTTTATTCTTTTTCCCAGCTCCCGCGAGAATTGCCTGACGATAAATCAATCGAATATAAAGGATCCTCCACAAATAAAATAAAGTTTCTCTCTGCTACCACTTACTTAGAATTTTATACAAGTTTAAAGAAAAATTGAAAAAAATAATTTAAACAAAATCTCATGCAAAAGTCAGCGTACCGGAGATGCTCAAAAAATTAATAATTTTTTTTCTCATTCACAAGCCAGCAAATGAAAGCTGACGAGCAAAACGTGCAAAATGGAATAAAGTCCGATTACACGTTTGGTTAAACGTTTCTTTATTTCTTTTTTCTTTTAACGTTTTGCCACTGACAATATCCAAGACTCCCGCTTCGTACTGGGTTAATTTCATCCCGAAAGCGGATTTAATCAAATCCAAATAGCTCGTCGAGGTTATTCGTCTGAGTAAAAGAGCCTTTGGACAGTTAGGTTAGGTTAGGTTGGCTCACGGTAAGGGAAGCAATTGAGAAAGGAAGAAAAGTAGAGGAAGGGAAAAAGAAATCTTAAAAGACCAAAAGATCCAATTCTATCTTTTAAATCGCTTTAACGATATTTCAAGTTTAGGTTGCCCAATTTTTTTTTTTCCTTTTCCTTTTCGCTCTCCCACTCAATTCACGATTTTCTTTCCAGCCGCGTCCCCTGTAATTTCCAAATATGCCATCCGATACGTATCTATGTTTAAAGGTCCGTTTACACGTGCACCAGATGCCGTTCGGTACGAGCAGTGAAAATAAATTTGAAAAATTCTAGAAACTTGGCGAGTAACAAAAACGTGTTTTTTCAAAGCGCCGTTCAGTAACAGGCATAGAACGCAGTAATTTTGAACTACGGGAATCGGGTAGTTTAACGATACCCATAAGGTTGAAATTGGAAATTTTACTTTATTTTTTCTTTACCTACGGTTTACTTACGGTTAACTCTCCTTTTCCCAAGAACACCGCGTTTCCCAAAATAAATATTAAACTGCCCAACTTTTTTCTTTTCCACCCCGCTAATTTCACCGGTCATAAGGGGGAGGAAGAAGAGTTGCCATTTTTATTTTGCAACTAACCGGAGTTCTTAGCGCGCTCATTAACCTCGTGCATCTCCTACCCAACTAATTTACTCGAAGGAGCCCTTAAGTAATTTCGGGGCCATGCTCGAAACTCCTAACTCCTGGAAAAGCCGCTCATTAGCTGAGCGTCCTGTTACGGAAATCGCGGAGATTTTACATCCTAGACAGCCAGGATCGACAACCTGACGCGAAGAGACTATCCGGGTTCGGGTAAATAGGGGAGGAATTTATAGGCCGTGAAAGTCGATTCCAAGCATGAGCGGCACCGCTACTAGAAACGTTTGAGAATTTATCAGATTTAGCAGAGAACAAAAAACTCAAACAGAAGCATCAATTGCAGTTGGCAAGTTCAATCGATATCGATAAAAAAAAAAAATTCCAAAAATCGATAGGGAATTCGTTAAATACGAATGCTTATAGTCACGTACTGCGGGAAAAAAAAAACATGAGAATTCATCCAAATTTTTGCAAACGGCAGAAAGGGGGTGGAAAATTTTGAAACGTGCACAAAAGAAACTCTGGCTTAGCTTGTAAACAAAGAGAAGTTTTTGTAAGCCTTGCGCAATTATTCCCATCCTCCTTTCTCTCTTTACTCGTTCTCTACGACTATCGATCTAGATAAAAATCGTAGACATAACAATAAAGCTAGATAAAGCGTGAACGTTGACATTCGGTATGCGACCTCGGCGACGCCAAGCACTGTTTGACTTGACGAAGTAAAAGTTCGATCGGCACTAATTAAATAACTTGAGCGATTCCACTCACGAATTTCACGCATAGACTCACGTAGGAGAACGGATGGTTCTCTCGGGCGGCTTCCGGTTTAACGCACATCCGCCTGCATGACTGAGCGCCTGTCTTTTTCCCTTACCAGGGCCTAGATTCAATCAACTTAATTTTATCAGGAAGGAATGACGCGATTTCACTGACACCAATTTTTACGTGAATCTTAACCACTAGGAGAGAAGAAAATATTTGATATTTCTTTTTTCTTTAACACGTTTTCGACATTAATCGCGTTGCGGCTTTAATCGGCATTGAATCACGCCATTTACAAAGACCGTTTCACTACCGCCACTGGTCTGCTTCGATCGAGTAATCAAACCGTCGCTTGAAGTGGCACGTGTCTGTAAACTGAATTCTGGTAGTTCATAAAGCTCGTGCACTGAACATAAACAAAGGGCTGTGCTGCCAGTGTTGCCTACTCAATAAAACTAACTAACGGTTTGCCGACAAACCTAACGACGCGTCTGTCCCTATGTTTCCTCGTTTCGATATACAAAGTCAGTGTCCTGTTATAAAAGTCAGTCCACCGATGTAAATTTCAGTCATTAAATTTCTATTTCACACAGTAATTAACGTAAAACCTACAGTGCGTTCTCTCGGTGAAGTTTGAAAAAATTATTTTTTTTACCTCTCAGTTGAAAAATAAAAATTCTCTGCAGCTCATCCAGATTCCTGAAACTAACGAACGCATCGCGAAAAAAATTAAACGCTGACGCATCCGTTGCACCTTTTTTTTCTTTTTTAATGTTAAAACTTGTTTTTCTCTCACGCCCGTGTAAACGTTCGCGAATCCACGTCGCGAATTTACCTCTGGATATCTGTACACGAAAAAGATTTTTACGTTTTTCTTTTCCTACTGAAAAATTCAACGTGTTACCCCGTACACAAAGCACACAGTGCATTTTGCTCTGGTTACGCGTAACTTGGAAGCAGCGAATTAAACTTTATCGCCATACTGACGCTCTACTCGCGTACTAGTTAGATGCATAGTTACCAACTACAGAATGACACATGGCACAGCCAAGAGTTACGTACTTGTACCTAACTTCAAGTGTAAGAAATAAATACCCGTTACTTGAAATACGTCGGGAGCCTTGATTTTTTAATTGTCTCTCAAAATTTTTGCCTGACTTGAATAAATCATATTCGCCTCATCTTGAATCTTTAGCAACATTCGAACCAGACGTATTGTCACTTTAAAACAGCTGACATTTAACAGTCTTAAATCATACAGTTGTGAGATGTAAAACATGAAATGATGAGGTAAAACGATGCAATTTTTTTTTTTCAAAAATGTCCTTAAGCTCACGTTTAATTTTTCCATCAGGTAAAAAATAACACTGGAACGTTGAGCGAACGATTTCTTTCGGATGAAATTGTCAAAATTGCCTCATTTATAAATTCACGCGGGACTATATTTCCGTTTCTGTAATCGCAGTGTCGCACTACCGTCAACGAGCATACGTCTAGCTGATAATGGTAAATGCACCGTTCCGATGATCACTGTAAAACGTTCGATTCTTCACAAAATACATATCACTGGTCCATTTGCATCGACTGCACAGTCTTCTAGACATACCTCGAGCGAATTTTCAAAAGGCAAAATTCCGTAACGAAATTTTGTTCTCGAAACAGCGTGACATCGTAACATTCACAATAAAAGGACAGCAATGGTTAACCTAAGGTAGGATAAAATCAATTACAATTAAGAGTATCCACTTTCAAAGATCCATTCATCTCAATTTAACGATACAAGTCCTACTTTCAATGCAAAAGCAAGAAATTTAGGATTAATACGAGCAACACTTGCCCTGGCGCTTAATGTAAATTGAAAATGACGAAACGAGGAGACACGAAACTCGCTAATGTCAATTCTCATTGAACGATACGTGGGACGCGTACTAAACTACCGAGCGTCGCGACGTCACGACCGCTTCGTACAAGAGCGCCGGCCGTACTGACGTCTCAGGCGTTCCAGCAGCCCCGAAAACCCTCAAGCCTGGTACGCGGCTTCACCGACTGCGAGATGCCGGGATGTCAGACGACGCTTGTCGCTACACTCAGCGATACTCGGGAGCTACATGCGGATTCGTTCTGCGCATGCGCACTAATAAATCCTCGCAACGAACTCCGCAAGTACGGCCTACGCTGTATTCCCGCTACTCCATGACGAGACAGCCGCTTTGCTCGCTTTACCGTCCAGCAGGACGACTCTGGCCACGGGAGAGGATTATATATCCCGAGTAAAGAAAAATGACCAAGGGATGTGGGCTCCCTTTTCTTCTTTTTTTATCTTTTTTATATCTTCTTATTCCAGGCCTTGCTACCGAACCACTGTGACTGTATCTCATTTCAGGACGCTACCCTCTGGCACTCAATAGAGAAAACTGTTTCGCTCGGATGACTTTACGCTTGATTTTCTTTATTTGACATATATATGGGCACGGTGAATATATAGATATACAAATTGAGAGTATATTAATATAATTAATGATTTTTCTTTTATTACATCGATATAACTCGACTGTTTATGCTTTTTCGAAATTATTCATTCTCCTTCGACCAGTTCACGTGTGCATAATACACGTATAGCGATATTAATTTTTTTTTAATACACTCGCCACACTGCATTGCTGTACTCCTATGAAAACAGCAAGAGCAGGCGTTGCCGCGAAGATATAAATAAAGAAAATAATGGCGACGCGAAGTCCACGATGTGGATTAGGGTGGACGGCAGTTGGGTTAGAGGCCTTGAGGGATGATAATATCGAACGGCAGAGGAGGGGAGCGGAAGTCGCACAGGATATCGAATCCTCCACTCACTCTACAACTTCTACGCTTTCAATCTTCTTCCTTCGCCTTCTTGAGCATCCTTTACCTACTTCCCATTCTTCTTCCTGTCTTATATTTTCTTGTTTCTTTTTTTAAAGGCATCTCACTCGCTCCCACTGCGACTCGTATTCGTATATCAAATGTCATGGTAAATCTACATGTGAGTGAGTTATACATAGAAAACTTCCTATACCTTTTATGAGTATCAAAACGCTCTGAGTCGATCGGATGGTGAATAATAAAAGAATAAATAAAACCGGGGTAAATATACAAATTCGAAAAGTCACATTTAACGGGTAACACGTTATTGATATTGTCGTTGTCGAATATAAAATTCTAATTGATGATATTCAATTCGATGATTTACGTGTCCTCGTGTCTTCTTCTATCGAAATGGCGAATTGGCCAAGAATATTTGTCACTTTGGAGAGATGAGAGGCTGCGTGCAGATGTCGAGGAATGAGGCCTTCCTAAATCTCATTCGTAAATCTGCAGGAGGAGTCGCGAAAGGGCTTCCCGGAGGGCCGAAGGGATATCGCTGTCTATATATATATACCAATATAGATATAGAGATACCGTACGCGATGGAAAGTGGGAGCCACGTCAGATATGGAATAAATTTCATGACAAGATGTAGTTTTTAGCTTTGTCTAAGGTTCTCTTGCTTTACGTTCTCCGTTTCTTATCTTGACTTTCTACTTCTACCCTTATCTCCTTTTGACGCTTTTTCTTCAAATACCTTTCCATCCCAGTCTTGACCTCGCCCGTGAAGAAACAAAAAATACACCCACACGCCTCAAACTACGCCTTTCGTTCTGCGGCAAGACGATGATTTTCATCTCCCGCTGAGAGCAAGAGAGGCTGGATGAAAGAAAATAAAAAGTCAGAGTACCACCCTACGAGTACTCTTGAGCTCGGATAATTCGTTTTTGATTTTCAAAAAAATCGAAAAAATTTTCATTTTCGTTATTAACTTTTTTTTTTGATCTCCAACTAATTCTACTACCTGGTAATGTTATCGATGAGAAAAAAAAATTTTATGACAAATTTGGATTTTGGTAAAAGATGCTGACGCACAAATTTTTTTTTTTACTAATGAAAAAAAGAGGAGAAAAATATGGAACCCCCCTAAGAAACAAGACGTCATCGCTATATTTATCCTTCCGAGCATTACCATGCGACATCCAGGCTAATCGTGGGGTCTGGCTATTCTTGACTCCTTACCAAATTACGCCTTTTTGCTGTCAACAGTCCAATAGCTCTGTGTACAGTAGATACGTACTCGAATGATCAGACAGATACAGAGGTAAATATAAAGTTGAAGTAAATTGCTCGATTTTCAATTCTCCACGTCAGCCAGGCGGAATCGTTCGATCGTTCCTACTCGGAAGAATTATTTTCTCCCAATTTTGTTTTGGTCGACTGACTCTCCACCCTCCTGAATAAGTTCGAGTCGATTAACCGGAAATACTATCGCCCGATGATCGTTATCCTCAAAGAGACTAAGAGAAACGAAAACTCTTTGACCGACCAGCAGGAATCTAAGCTCAGACTAGGTATCGTCATTCAATCGCAAAGTTAACTGACCTTCGACTCGGCCTCAATCAAGAACTCCATTAAGATAAGACACGTTATTTTTATTTAATAAAAAAAATCAAATCATCGCAAATCCTTCATACGTACCATCACGAAGTTAGTGACGTACGTACTATTTAACCCTTGAGAAAAAGCCCTTATCTTAACCCAGCACGTAAAGTGCCTTTAACGTACACACTGTATAAGACCAGTAGCTGCAAGACGTAGCTGCTGTTAGAAACCCATTATTCACTACTTTACTCAAGTACCACTCGCTACGCGTACCAGTAGATTTGCAATTCCCTAACTTTCCCACGGTCCTAAAAAAGAAAAAGGTTTGAAACATAAAAATGTATTTTTGACAAAATCCATTTTTTCAACTCTCAACACATTTTTCGATAAAATTTTCACAGATTACGAATCGATTTGTCATCGGACCGGCTGTCAGTGAATTCAAAATTACTCGGAACAATATGAATGACGTATGACAGTTCCTGCAATGTCATCCGAATGACGTAATTTTCATATCTAAGTAAAGTGGAACAAAGCCTCGGGGTCTACAGTGCATGAGGTTGCAAGGAGGGAGTCCAGGGATGGTCTAGGGTGCCCTAGTACTGTATATCGGGAAGATGGGCAGACGTGGAAAGTAGTATGGAGGTTAGGCTAGGTTAGGTTAGGTTAGCTAAAGCAGCGAGCTGTCTCGCTTTCTGGCTTTCGTGCTTCTATCGAAAGCCTGGGTACGTGCCTGTAGCACCCTCGACCGCACTCTTCCCACCTTCAGCCAGTGTAACCCACCACCGACCGTCTACCGGATCCTGATCCTCCTAACCTCAACTGTCCTCCGCCACCTACCGAGCCTCCTGCGACCACGAGTGGAGTGCAAATTGCTATCAGCCCGATCGCACCACCCTCGTAGAGGACCAAGGGTGTCAACGGAAACGGATACCCTTCGCATCTTCGTTATGTGCCGGGCGAATAAAAATGGAGGCCCACCACTGTGTACCTAACAACCTACGGGGACCCCGTGGTGAGTCGAGGAAATTTAGGTTAGATTTCTGCCATATCGGAACCACCGGGTATATGGGCGACGTAGGGGACGATACGGCGAATAGAAATAAAACTAGATTCTCGATACTGAGTCTGAAAGATATCTAGGGATATTTTGCATAAAACTCGAATTTCGTGTCGTTTCGATATTACGCGAACTGAGTATATATCTGATAGACCGAAGTTAGCTCTAGAAGCCGCACGTACCGGAGCCTAAGGTTGTTTTCAACTCCGAGTCCGACTTTGTGTTGAAAAGCCATAGAGCTGTCTTATCTATTAATTTTGATCTAGGGTCAAAGGGCATCCCCTTCGCTGAGAGTGATAGGGGGTGCAATCGGAAAGGAAAGTCAGGAGTTTGATTATCGGATATAAAAAGTCAGTCCAGCAACCTCAGCTGGTGAGCAAGATAAAAATTGCCGAAAAAGAAGCCGAGCAATATCCAGGAATACCAATCCCATCCAGATAGCACGAAAAGGGACACGGGGTAGGTATAGTTCATAGGGATACTTGAACAATTCGCCGTACTGCGTCACCGGGAAGGACCGAGGGATGAAAGTCCCTTTGATAGTATCAAGCACGGTTTCCGCCGGAAACGGGCAAAGAGGAGATCGGATGTAGGAAAAAAGAGATAGGGGAGGAAAGAAAAAAGAAAATTCGATTATCAAACACCCCGTCCTTCGGCCAGGACCAAACGAACCGATTCGTCCGATGGCGTTTCGTTAATCGGAAAAAAAAAATGTCATGGCTCGTCGAAAGAAGAAGAAGAAAGAAAGAAGGAAAAAAGAAAGAATAAAATCCAAGAAATTCTCTATCGCTGACGTTTCGCGCTGCGTAGAATTTTGAGTCGTGCGAATGGCGCTGACAGCTGGCGAAATAAAATCGCCTGAAATTATTTGAGCAGATTAATATTCCTTGGATCTGCTTTTTTTTTCTTTTTTTCTTTTTTTAACCCAACAATGCTAACCACTATATCGAGCTAGAAGGGTAATCCCGAATTGGATCCTTTCGCTGCTTCCTCAACCCCTAGGAGAATACGAGATTGCGATAGGGTCCATTTTTCTCCGTGGTTTATATATATATATATATATCTCGAGCCTCTCAGCCCTTCCACTCAAAAATCAAGCTTAACGAACGTATTTGCATTCAATAATGGAGACCGAACGGGAGTCGTCGTAGATGTACTCTAATCCGCCCTCGTAAACGAGACGCAACCCTTCCCTTTAAAACAACGTTTGCCCCTCTTCATTAATAATACAACTAAAAACCACGGCCCGTCATTGTCTTGCCTTTTCTATAGGGGATGATTCACAACCCTCGTATCCTTACCTAGGCAACCCGCACTATACGCTCAGCTTTGTTTCTACGGCTCTTTCAACCCTTCTTCGCATTCTGCGTGTATATATATATATATTATTCTATACCAGATTCTTCTCCCTTCATCTCTTACCGCCCTGACGTTTTACGTCTCTGTCTACTCGTAACCACCCTGGAATTTTAATATTGCGAAACGTTTCGTGATATTCTTTTTTTCACTTTGATGTGATAAAAAATTTT